CCAAAACAATCGGAGATGAGTTTTCAAAATGGAGAGATAACATAGTAAAGGGAGATAAGGAAAGGTAAAAGCTTCAGCCAAAGAAAAATATGCTACAATTTCAGAACAAAAAGGCCAAGTCCTCCCTGGTCTGCAACACCATGACTCCATAAACCTCCCTGCCCTTTTCCAGAAGATGGGCAGCTTAGCCAAAGGACCATAAAATGAGCAGCCAGCTCATAAACATGACATCTTATAGAAGTCCTTTTATTTATTCTCACATTTGCAACTGTACCGGGTTGTTGAATTCTCTTCTTCTGAAGGGTTCGTGTTGTTAATGTCATCACCAGGAGGTAATGCTCACTCATAATTTTATGCCCTCAACAATTAAAAACTATTTTCAGCTATTCCTATTTCCTTCAAGTCTTAATCATAATTATACATCATTTCTACACAGTGGTATTTTTGTATGTAAAGACAATTTCAAAGTCTGTTATTTTCTTCTTACCATTAAATTATCCTCAGTATTTTCTCACAAGATACACAGAAGTCTTTCTTCAAAATGATCATTTCTAGTACCTGAATGGTTATAGGCCTCCATGATCAGACATGCAACGATTTTTAATTGCGGTGTTGCACAAGAAATTTCTTCATTTATATAGTTCTTGTTTTCCTTTAGATTGTTTGTTTTAAACTACAGCACACCTCAGAATCACCTGAAGGGCTTATTAAAACACAGGTGGCTCACTCCAGAGAGCTTCTGATGTTATATCAGGGTGAGGCCAAGCATCTGCAAGTCCAACAAGTTTTCAGGTAATGCTGATGCTGCTAATCTGGAGATCACTTTCAAAAATTACTATTATTATTTACTAGAATATTGTGATAGTAAATTGAGGTTGACAAATAAAGTAGCATAGACCTTTTTATAGCACCTGAGAAACCTTTCCTACAAGCTTACACACATTCATATTGCCAAATGACTTCTTGAAAGCCTGGGTAGAAACCAACTAACCAAATGAACAAATGAACAAAGGAAAATTCTTACTTCTCTCTCCCTCAAAATCATAACATTAGGCCTGAGATACATCTATTTACAGTTTAAAGATATACAGCATTGCTAAATGGTAATATCCCAATCTCTGTTACCTCAGAAATCAACAAGGAAGTTTTATCATCACTGTCCAAATGCAAAAGTCACTTAAAAATAATTGAAATATTTATACCTTGGAGGAAAGTAAATTTGTATCTGCACTACCCAGAGACAAATTAGCTGAGTTTATCTTGCCTGTCTACCAGATTGGTCAAAACCAATGTTGCTCATTGGAAGGTGTAGAGCAAAAATATGGCTTTGAAAATTAGTTTTGATAAGCTGGAAATAAGAGAATTCCCATTTTGGCAGGGGGTTATTAGCATGACTGTCTAAAAGCCACAGTCAAAAACCTCAGAGATTTTCCCTTGTACTACTGGATTCTTTATATTTGGGTAGAGATTAATCCCTCACCTCCGAATGGAGGCATATGCATATAAGCAAACATGCCAGGATAAGCATATAGATGCATCTACACAAGAAACCACTAGGCAGCTATGTAAGTGAAGTATCCATTCCCACACTGGTTTTTAGGATCCCATAGGTAAGACATATGCTTAGCAATGATATCCTCTGCAGAAAGTGTCTTCTGGGCTCTTTTTCTGTACTCTGCTCACATTCTTATATTTTTTATTCCTATTTGCTGTTACTGTATCTATTTTAATGTATAAAGAGAAGATGTGTTCATAAAATCATATATAAGCAAAGAGACTGGGTGTTGTCAACAAACCTTGGAATTTGGTTAGCAATGAATGGTTAAATCGAGAGTAAACGTGTTACATGCGGAATTATTAAGAGAATCCTGTATTTACAAATTTCTAAGAGGTTTTTTTCCCCCGAGTCACTGTTTTGATAATTGTGTTGTCCTATGTAAGGACTAAGTCAACAGTCTTAACAACAGCCTTAAAAGACAGACTTGTTCTTTGCATGGCCATGTTCATTACGGCCATATGAAGACACTGCTGTTCTCAGGGTTGACAGAAAACTAGGGGGCAAAAGCTAAGACACCATGTACATTTCATAGTATGTATAGTTTATAGAATAGTGTGCATAAATGTTTCTACTTACTATGTATTGTATAGTAAATATGACCATATTTAGCAGCCTCAAAAAAAGATATGACAAAGCTTAAAATATGCCAGTCTTAAAAATGCAAATTTCAGAAATGTAGAACTTCACTGCAGACACTGTGAGGTGATCATTCCCTAGTGTGGGTGAGAATTTGGCTACAGGCACTTACTGCTTAATCCAGGCGTTCCAAGAACTGAAAAGTTAATTAGCAGCAACAACCATGTGACCATTTGAAAACCAATACTTCTGAGGGGTTTTTTAAGTAATAATTGCCAATTCCTTACAGTGAGTTAGTGCAGAATTACAATCAATTAAATATAGCCCCTGTCACAAATCCAAAAGTACTAGCCAAAGTCTGTACTCATCAGTGAGATGATATTAGTTCATGAATTCAGTGAAGAGAAAGAAATAGGGAGGAAACGTACCATGTACAATGAACGGTGCATATGGCTTGCCTATAAATTTCAACTCCTAATCTCCAGGGAATGGGAGATAAAAAGCCTCTAGGGATCATCAGAAACAACAGAGGAGTCTTTTTAGAATCACTTCCCTCCATCAGGGTGGGAATGGACCCCAGGCAAGCCAAAGGATAAGAATTTCAATAAGTACATGTTAATGGAGATCTTCCTTTTTTCACAAATAGTTATACTTTCCAATTTAGGCAGTCATATAAAGACTCCTTTTTAAAAATTAAGATATAAAAAATGGGTTAATTTTAAAGCGAAATCTGTTGTAAAAAAATAGTTCAAACTATATGTAGACAGCGCAAAATGAGAAAAAGTGAATGCCCAAGTTGGTTAAAACCTGTCATAGCAGCATGATGCCACAACTTGCTGGCCACCCAGTGAATGATGACATCACAGTGACCTCTCTACTGCAGGCTTACCTGGAGCACTGGAAGCATTAAACCGAATGTGCACAGCATGTTCTGCAGTAACACACTGGTATCTAATTCAAATGCTATCACTAGGGAAGTTGTTGCAATTTTCTTTCTCAGTAAAGTAAATCCCAATTCCTCTATAAACAATACATGTACAGATTTTACAAAAAGGAAAGCATTTTCTGAAAAGAAAAATGGACCGAAAAATTTCTTAAATGTTAAATACAATGTAAATTTATGTTATCCATAAATACAGTTATCAAACTCAATAGTTGACTAAATATGGGAGACCAGACACAAATAAACACGTGTTATATATTTTTGCCTACAGACATTAGTTTATATTAGAAGGAAATGTATCTAACTTATTCATTATGTGTGTTGTCGACACTTCTATCATAAAAGGAATAATTGTTTCCATGAATAAAACCCTGGTTTGCTTCTGGGCTCCAGGGCCTAATATTCTCAAGGAGCCTAAGTCTCAACTGAGAAAGGTCAACATGGTAAAATTTAAACACATCTTTGGAATGATGAAACCACTATTTTTAATGTACTAAAGGGAAAGCAGACAGCTTAGCTAAAAGAAACCTGTATGTTATCCTTATAGCAAGGAACGAGAGAACAGTAAGCATTGATGGGGGTAACTGTCCATCCTAGTGAGGCCTTCCTCCCAGATTTGTACTCATACCCCCAATAATAACCTTTCATTGTACCCCTTTCCACGCTATTCCAAAATATCAATTATTACATAAAAATTATGCTTTTTAAAAAATCAATAAACATTGACCTAAATTAGATTAAAATAAAAAAAGACTGACATTATTTTTGAAGGCTAATTATGATCAAACGTTTCTTCAAATAACATTTTATAGGACCTTAAAAAAATCTGTCACACAAATAATTTTCAGTCAAAAGTTGAACTTAAGAAAACATTACAGAGACGAAATTTCTACAGGGCCATCACTGACTTTAGTATTGTTTAGAATAGTCATTGATTGTACTAGAGGTACACATTCAAATATTCTGCTCTACACAACGAAATAATCAGCAAGATATCTGTAACTTAACCCAAAGAAAAGGGACTAGAGCTCCTTTGAATCATAACCTCTGTTATTTAAGAAATGACTAAAAAACATGGTAGAAAAATACTTATACTTCTCAACTGCAGGTTTCTAGGAATATATCAGTGCTGTGTTTTTCATTTTCTTATTTCTGAGAAGAATTCTTGGTCTTATGAAAAGTCACAAACTTATTTAGAGAGATTAAGTTTTTTTGATCATTGCCAAAACAGATCACAAGTGAAAGGCCTGAAATGTGACTTTATTGAGCCACTCGTTACAATCTAAAACCGCTCGTTATATCTACTCAGGTTTCTAATTAGGACCACTGCAAAATGGACAGAGATCACCAAATCATTCATTGGCACAGGTCCACATTTCTTTATTCACCCCAGAAAACTAAGAAATGGTAGTCACTATTTAACCATGCTCTTGTAATGAGTTTTCATTCCCCTCACTCTGGTTCAAATCCAAACTTCTTGAAAAATCATGTTCAAATAATTGAAAGTTACCAAGTTCAATAGGATATCTTCCTAAAGTTGAGATATGAAAGACTAGGGCAGAATATCGGATTTCTGTTTTCCCATTGGGGGTAGAGGGGAGGGATAGTTCCTTTTAATCTAAATGTACAAACAAAAAAAAAATGTTTCTTTTCTTCATTCTATTTGATCTCTATGGTCTATTTGGTGTGCATGTTTGTGTACATGAAAAAGAGAGAGATGGTTCTATTTATTTAGCCCTCAGCAGTAATTATGTTTTGATACATTTTTAAATGTTCATACCTCATTTTAAATGTTCAAGTCCAACTGTAACCACCAGAGGAGAAGTCCCTGCTTAGTTATTGGTCATACTTTCCTGTAACCCCCAACTCAAGTCCTGAAAGTCTCAAGAAGGACAGGGCGTCAAGTGAAAAGTAAAGCTTTACCCTGATGAAGAGGATCTTCTCTCCCACTCGGTATCTCCCTTGAGACAGCCTCTCCACGCAGAACTTGCTTGGGCATTTGCAGGGAGGGTCCTCGGAAATCCTTTTCACCTGAAATGGAAGAGCAGGCAAGTTCATGCTCCTCAATCAAGCTCCATTTAGATTAATCTGCTCTGTGGGTTCAAAGACCCCTGGACCAGTAACTGCTTTTAAATTTGTCCTATATCAGACTATGAACATGATATGAGCAAAGAAACAGCACATTAAGTCCTAACTGTGTGAAGGTCAGGCCCAGAAGGCATTTTCCCAAGGCCGATACCTGCACAAGGGCGTGAGCTGGGTGATGACAATGGAAAGGATGCTGGAGGGTAAGGTGAGCAAACCAATGGGCAGCGTGAAAATGATGATCCAGGCGCACTCTGGGAGGGTTACAGAGACCATCCCACCGGGTTGCCAAGATAAACATATTGGAAACTAGAACACAATGCATGTTAACACAGCATGTTTCCTCATTATAATTTACCAATATGAATTTTACAATTTCAAAAATAAATAAGATTTAAACAAATTCTTTTTTAAAGGAGACTATTGTTCCATCTTATTTTGAGCGCAAAGGTTTTCTTTAAGAGGTCACCTCTAATTCACCCAGGCCCCTCTCAGTAAGTGCCGCCTGCCAAAACCTGCTTCTGTGGCAGCATCGTACATTTACATGCACTTTACAGAACCCGTGTCCGAAAATCAGAATTTATCCCTATTTTATCTATTTCCCTATTCTTAAAAAAATACCTAAGCTAAATCTGTGCACAATGCTTTACAAGGGAGGAAGTCTATATTTGTTTCTTCACTGGGAACCTGTCATGCCGCACCTCATAACTGTCCTCTCTTCAGCTCACCAACCCACCAACCCAACAATCCAAAGCAACAACTTCCTGCATTTTGAGTCAAAGATCTAAACAGATTAAGACTGGATTCAAAGAATCTTTCAGATGGCTTTCATTGAACAATGGAAAAACCTGCTTAACATCACTAAGGTAGCGATTAGATCCATGTATTTGAGTTCTGAATTTTTTCCACCATATGATACTTGGTGCATAGATACATCCACCCACTCCCCTAATATTAACCGAATTCTGTCCCTAGGGACTTTTCTGAATGGATATGCTTGAACAAGATAGTAGAACAGTAGATAGTGGAATAGTAGAATAATGCATCAGCTTCATAAAAGCACATGGCCCGAGCTTGAGGAGAGCCCTGCTTGGCACAGCTTTACTTGCCACAGAGTAATTGAGAAAAGGGCAAATTGGTGTTCCAGTTGTTCCTCTGCTGAGAAATGATCACAAGTATGTGTGAAAAGTATTTCCATCTTAAAATGTTCTCAGACGAAACAGAAACTGTGGGGATCAAATGCAGTGAAATGCGAAATACATTTTCTCAAGCGGCCTGCCCTTCTCTAATGCCTCGCGAGCTTTGGAAATGGACTTGTTTTTTGTTTTGTGGGATTTTTTTTTGAAATCAAGAGCTTTTTTGTAGTTGTGTGAGAGGTGGAGGCAGAAATGGAAGAGACAAGGCCAGACTGTGGGCAGCGGGAATATATTGTTAAGCGAACAGTGGCTGATGCCATCTGGGCTTCTTAGGTTACCCTGGGATAAGCCCGTCTGGCAGGTGTTCCGCTTGGGCCAGGAACCCGGCCAGCTTTCTGCTGAAATGGGATTTCGAGAGGAGCCTGATTATCAGAATGACACTATCTCTCATCCCCAGACTGAGGAAGTTGCTGGAGAGGAGGGGGAAGGTGAGAATGGCTTCTCAGAGCCCGAGGAGCTCACTGTGCGGGAACCCGCTGGCCGCAGGCAGCGCCCAGCCGAGCCCGCACCATCACCGCGGCCCAGGCTCTGGCAGGACACCGGGCGGACAGGTTAATCTGAATGGAGTCTACTGTGCGTCCTTTGAGGATATCTTGATTAAAGAACGTGGGATATTATCCACATCAAGGCTCACCTTTTTCCCCCTTTGATTTTCCACAATTCCCCTAAGCAGCGAACGAAGAAACGCGAGGAGACAGGGCCCGCTTCGAACTGGCAGTTCCCGGGCCGCGGCTGGGCATGAGCTCTCTGGGCTGCTCCCCTCTGTCTCTCCTCCCTTCATGCCTGTCTCTTTTTCCCTCTTACTCTTTTATTCCCCCTTTCTTTCTCTTTCCTTTTTTTTTTGGATACAAATAGTAACTTTGCCAGAGCAGAAATAGCCAGTATCTTTCACTGGCCCCAGGAACGTTCCTAAAGCACAAACTGGGACCCACGCGTTTCAGCGCCCAGCGGCTGTGAAGCTTCACACGCGGCGAGCAGCTGCCCTGGGGCTGTTTACTTTTTATATTTGACACGTGACGCTCTCGTTTACATCATTAGTGAGGCTCAAGTCGTGTTTCTCTCTGTCCCACTGTCCCTGAAATAAAATGCTTTGGTGTAAAACGCACATAAACAGAATGCAAATATTTTAGTGCAATTTCCCCAACACAGTATGAAGGAGGCTACATATAAGAGACTTCGGTGGCCAAATAATTTGGAAAATTCCAGGTCAAACAAGATCTTATGACGGAGCTCACAAGTGCCTTTGATACACCACGGTGCATGGCCAAACTCTGCACAGGGGATGCAGTGAGCTGTGTTTCTCAGACTAACCTGGCCATGGAAGTCTTTTCCCTGCGGGGCATCTGCGGGTGTTAGTATTCGATTAAACGTTCTTGGAGAAACGCTGGTTCAAAGACTTTCCGAGCATAGTGTTCTAGCTGGCAATGGTACAGAAATGTCCGGTTTGCACATTTCCTACATTCAATTAAAACCCCTAAACTAAATAGATGGTTGTGTTCCCAAATTCTGGAAAAGTCTAAAGGGGGTTTACAGCTCTTGGGAGATCCCTTCATTGTTTCCAGCTGAGGAGCTAGAAGTTGGAGAAGGGAGCACAAGCACAGAGTAACAGTCTGGCCCTGGACTGGAGTACTCAACACACTTTTCCAAAATCCCTTTCATAGTTGTTTCACCACCTCCTTCCCCCGTCCCTTCCCCCCTTCTCAAGGATGACAGATGGCCACATATGGGACAAGCTGTTGAACAGAGGGAGCCATTCTAGCTCCTTCTCCAGGTTCATGTAGGCGGCTTCAAGGCGCAGCATCGCCTCTCTCTGCAGGGCAGCCCGTTTCCAGAGCACATGGCCATTCCAGATCAACAGAACTAGGAAGCAGCTCTTTTAAACCTCATTACCCACCTTGATAATCTACTCAACAAACACGGCACTAATAGATTAATAAAATACGGTCCATGTCTTTGAGAATGAGGACTGTACATAAGGAATAAGTGCTATTTGTGCCCAATAAAGTAAATACGTCATAAAATATATAAAAACACCTGGGACATCAAGGACTAATTTATCAATTTTACCAGGAATGGGCGATGCCAAGGGAAGCTTTATACAGGAGGCCACAAGCTGAATTTTAAAAGATGAAATGGTGTTTAAAAGTAGATTTAAAAGATGAATAGGCATACCACATGGCGAGGAAAGCAAATGAGGGAAAGCCCAGGGCATAAAATGTCCTGAGGAATTTGGGGTCAGCAGGCATCTTTACAGTGGGTTCCTCCGATGCCAGGATGAGTCTAGAGGGCGATAAAGCTGGGAAAGGCACAATGGGCCAGCACATGCAGGCTTATGTGACATATAAATGACTTTGGGATTTACCCTGGATGTTAAAGGGAACCCTATGGAATCTGTATCAAATCTGAGTTGCATTTGGGTTGCTCGTCTGTTAACAATGTCTATGGACAATAATGCCAAGAATGCACTGGCCAACAGAGTCGAATACCGGAAAGGAGCCTTCATAATTTGAGGACTAAAATAACGTATGTGATTCAGTGCTCACTCATTAGGAGGTTAAGGATGATGCCGGCCAGAGCCCTGACTATACTGCATTAAAGAAAATGAGTGGAGGTGACGGCAGAGGGCAAAAGGAATAAAGTAAAGTTTGGTTGCCCCAGAGAAACACATTTATAAGAGAAAGACTACAGGAACATCTTATCCCAAAATAAGTCCAATCAAAAAGGTATAACTGAGAGAGAAGACAATTGTTCTCATCAAAAAATAAACGATGTGCCCGGCTGAGCATGGCTCAGTGGTTGAGCGTCGACCTAGGATCCAGGCGATCAGGGTTCAATTCCCGGTCAGGGCACATGCCCGGGTTGCGGGCTGCAGCCGATCAATGACTCTCTCATCATTGATGTTTCTGTCTCTCTCTCTCCTTCTCCTTTCCTCTCTCTGAAATCAATAAAGATATAAAACAACAAAACAAAACAAAAAAAAAACACGATGCTCCATTATCTACTACTAATACAACATTGTGTTCCATTAACTTATAAAGTAAATATGAAATACTATGACAAGCAAGGCATGTCACTGATCCTTAAAAACAGCCCTGTGATTTTAAAATTGTTTTACATGGTATTAAAACATCCTTGCCTAGCCCTGCTGGTGTGGCTCAGGTGGCTGGAGCGTTGTCCAGTGCACCTAAGGGTCTCGGGTTTGATTCCAGGGTCAGGGCACATACCCAGGTTGCAGGCTTGATCCCTGGTTGGGATGCATACAGAAGGCAGCCAATCGATGTTTCTCTCTCTCTCTCTCTTTCTCTCTCTTTCTCAAGTCAATTTTTAAAAAAGTATCCTTGGGTGAGAATTAAAAAAAAAATCCTTGCCTATTCTTTAATTCCCAGAATGGACTGAACAAAAGAAAACTAGATTAAGCTGTGACTGGCTAAGATCCCTTAGCAGGCCAAGTTTAAGTCCCTTCGCAGAAATAGGAATGCTCAGTCTCTCAGAAAAAGTTATATTTCTGCTCATCTAGAAAGAGTGCCACATGGAGGAAAGCGGAAGATGGGAAATGTCCCTTTCTGCATCGTGTACTGCTAGTGAACCACTGTCCCAGCTCTTTTCAGCTCAGACCCTAGAGAAGGAGACCCTCAGCTAAGGGCCAGCAGTCCTTTTCAGTCTTGTCTACTCCTTATAATGAGCATTATGGCTGCTGCTAGTTTCTAAGGACCCTCCTCCTGCATGTGAGACATACTCCGCTCTAGCATCTCTGGTGCCAGGCTGAATGATGTTACTATTTTCTGTAAAACAAATAAGTATTTTTTTACATTTGCACTCAAAATACATGCGCTGGGAGGTAAATACATGCACATAATCAAACATGTTACTTACAGCCAACAACTACTTATAACCAAGAACAGGCGACAGAGGTAGCCAGAGAGTTCTGACTCACCCCATTTGCTGTTGCACCCAGGATGTTTGCTGTGATTATGGGGGGATAATGAAAATAGTCCCTAATCTGCCAAAGACTGAGACTCAAGGGCTCTCAGAGTTAGACAAAACTGGGTTGGAATCTAAGATCCTTTCCTTTCCTCAGCAGGTGATTCAATTTCCAGGTTTGTGTTTTCTCAATAAGAAACCTGCCTTAGAAATTCCAAGAGCATTTGGAAAACAATGCTGGACCCTGGCCCACAGCAGGCAGTGGGTAAAGGTCAGTTATTTTCTCTCCGGTGTGTTTGCTTTCCCTTCTTGAACAAACTCAAGATCTCCTGCCTCAGTCTTATCTGTGAAACGAAGAGCCATAAACCAATGACCACAGGCATAAATGTTTTCAAAGTCAACTTTCAGGGAGTTGATTCACTATCCTAAAACTTTAGACACTACTCAGCAGAATTCAGTGACACTTTATTTGAAATGACTGGCTCAGTTTGGAGTCTCAAAATGGACTGTGGAACTACAAACTTTTTCATAGGATTTTAAAATGAATTTCAGTGAAATAGAAGTAAGTCAAGATTAGGCTGATAACACATTGGACAGAATGGGCTTTGAAATCCCGCAGAGACTAAGCAGTCAGAAGCCTGACCAGTTTCACTTACGGCGTCATCCAGCAAGTTTCCTGTACTCTTTTTCCCAGAAGACTTGGATGAAGGAGACGGCGACGGAGAAGGGGCAGAGAGGGTTTCTTCTTGTTCAATCTCTTTTTCCAATTTTATCAAACCCGGAGGCTCCACGCCATACCTTTCAAAAGACACCAGATCAATATAGACGCAGAACTTTTAATGATATGCTTGTCATATGTGACATTTGATGATGAACACTGTAGGAGCAAACTAATGATTGTTTTAATTTATTTTATTTTTTTATTGTTCAAAATATTATAGATGTACCTTTTTCTCCCCATTGACCCCTTCTCCTCCTGCTCCACCGCCTCCCCAGTCCCTCACCACACCACTGTCTGTGTCCTTGGGTTATGCATATATGGGTATAAGTTCTTTGGTTAATCTCTCCCCCCCAAGTTACAATAGCTAAGATCTGGAAACAGCCCAAGTGTCCATCAGTAGATGAGTGAATAAAAAAGCTGTGGGACATTTACCCCAGGGAATACTACACAGCTGTAAAGAAGAAGGATCTTGTACCCATTGAGACAGCATGGAGGGACCTGGAGAGTAGTATGCTAAGCGAAATAAGCCAGGCAGAGAAAGACAAACATCACATGATGATTTTTTAAAACGACATTAACTTTTCTTGGCATGAAATGGAAAGTTCTTAAATGGCAGGGGAAAAACATATCTGGTGTGTGTGTGTGTACGTACTTAATACTGTTTAAGTAAAAAAATTCCTGTATTCTCATGTAACAATTATTTTGGGTTCCAAATATATATTTCACTGTTTGGGATCTTCAAATGCTTATCACTTTAACAAAACATGTCAGTTTTAAATGTACATAAATGCTTTACTAAAAAGATGTTCCAGATGACTTTAAGCCTTATCCAAAATTAAAATACATTTTTTAGAACTTCCTAATACTTATTAATTACACTGAACCCAACCTAGCACTGCATGACCACTGACTTGTGCCAACAACTCTCCCATGGAGGTTTGTCAGTCTTCCCCGAGGTAGGCCTGAGCCGGCAGTGTCATTAGCCTACTCTCTAGGGTTAGCAGATCACTAAACCTCTAGGAGTCTGCCTTCTGTCAGGAAGGTGGAGATGGAAATGGCCTGCCCCAGAGGTCTGGTGCAGCAGGGGAGGGAGAGAGGGGCAAGAACGTGGGAAAAGCAGCTGTTCCCGGACACCTGCGTGTATCTGGCCCATTGGGGCATCCTCACACACACTGTCTCTGAGCCCCCGTTTTACTTCAGTGTAAAATGCAAATTCTAATTCTTGTATTTTAATATTGTTAGAAGGAATTAAAATTATTGACTACATGCCTAGCACAGCGTCTGACACGTCACAACCTCCAAGATTGCTGTCAATTGATGTTTCCAATGTTGCACAACCAGAAAACTGTAGCACTAGGTGCTTTTGCTCAAGCTTTTACTTTTAAAGTATATTATGTCACCAAATTAAATAATAATAACAGCACCATAATTAAAATGTGTAGTATTAATATTGTTTATATTACTATTGTTTGGATCCTTTACCAAAAAATACCCTTAGTATAGACTTTCTTTAAATTGATTCTGCTAGAATTGTGGGCTAGCAGACATATCTCAGGGTGGGAGTGGAGCAGACCAAGTTATAAGTCCAGCTTTGCCACTAACTGGCTGGATGAATCTCAGCAGGCATCTCTTTCTTAATCTCCCTAGATTTCTCTGAATTCTCAGTTCTATCAAGGTATAAATGTCTGTTATGTTTAACGTTCCTACAGGAATAACATAAACTGGGCAGTGAAGGTAGAAGAATCTAAAATGCTAGGCGTCACAGCCAATTAGAAGTCAATTCTAAGTGAAAACCTCATATTTAAAAGTATAAAGTAGGCCAACTGGAAAATATGATTTCATTTATAATTGTAGGTGGATTCCTGCCACCTTTCAGGAACAGGTTGCCTAATTTTTTCTCTTTCTTCTTTTTTTACAAAGTGAAATAAGAAATATGTTATTAGAGTAATAGTAGGTCCCACTAGATGTCTGATACAAAGTAGCCTAAGTTTGAATGAAGTTGGTCACAAAGTCACACATGGAACCTGGCCCTGAAGAGTTTTCTTCATCTGGAAATGCTGCAAATTAGCTCTGCCACTGAACACAGAAAATCAGCACTAAGCCCCAAATCTCTGCTTATGTTGGCTTTTGCATACTTCAGGCTGCCTAAGGTATAGTCAGCCAGTCCAGAAATGCACACTTAAATACGATTCACCGGCTTCCTGTCTGTCTGGAGATGTCAACAGGCTGTAAATCATGAAATTCCCCTTGGGCTGGGGGCCCGCACCTGCAGGCCAGCTCAGTCACCAAATCGGTCTTTTTCTCCGCTCTCCAAAAGGCTGTTTCATTATGGTTTCCATGATGAACTCTAGACCACTTCATATTTCTATTTTGTCTAGGAGGTTTTCACAATTTATACTGTTTTCTACTCCTTTGCAACTACACAATTTTAGAGCTTTGGGGGAGAGAGGAGGCTGCTGTAGGTCTCAGAGTGAATAAGGGTGACACTAAAGCCAGAAGGTTGAATCCACTAAAACCAAATCCTCACACCTGTGTATCCCAGTGATAAGAAAGCAGGGTGAACACTGGAAGGACAAGACATTTCTTTGTCCTATTAAAAAATATTACAAAGTGCTAGGGAAGGGTCTTACAGTTAATGACTTCATGATGAGATTCTATACATGGACTTCATTTTTCTGGCACGTGACACAAATTTTGAGATTGTTCTAAGTGAAGTAATTGAGCCCCAAACTGAGCCCTGAGTGAGAAAATTTACTCAAACTATTTAGTAGACTATGGTTCTCAAACAAAAGACTCTTGGGGCTGATTTGCTAGAGTTAAAGGGACAACTTTTAGAACCTACCCCCCTTTTTAAAGCATGTAACAGAGAGTTTACAGATTCTTGCAAGATAGTTTTTGCCCCATTTTTATTCTGTCTTAAAGTAATTTAAAGGTAGATTTATATTTGGAAAGAAAATTCACCCCTGTGAAAACATGGGATATTCTTAGTAGTCAGAGTCAAGTGCTTTAAATAGGATGAATTAATTAATAAGCCGTGTAGAAGAATATTTTTCATTTAAGTAACATTTGGTTGGGCCATGGATTGAAATGGGAGACTAACAAAATTATTTGTAAAGTATATTTCTCTGGAATGGTCATAAATTTTGTTCAAAATCAAGGGAGTTCTCAAAAATAAAGATACAAAAAGCTCCACTGGAATGCTGATTATTGATTATGGCCCCAAACCATACTATCGAGTGTTCTACTTTTATTGTAAAGCTAATCTTAATTCTGCAGTCTGTAGAAAAGGTTGAATTCACAGTAACTTCTTTTTTCAGGAACAAGTATCAAAACACTGTCATTTAAAAGATCTTTGAGGTTTTATTGACCTGCCTTTGCTGGGTGTTTTACTTTTCAGAAGGCAAACATGCATATTTTACACCCAGAAACTCGCATCGTTTCTGAAATAGGGAGGGGTTCCACTCTCCAGTGATGATAGCTCTATGTAGTTGAAAATAAAAGGAAGTTTTACCCATGAGAACAAAAGTAAGTGGCCTCACTTTCCCATCGCAGAACTCGGAGAAGCCCTCAGCTCTCCAAGGGCTCCACTGAGTGTTCCCACGCAGGAGAACATGGCAGTGAATCAGAAACATTTTGCAAATCATATCCAAGTGCTGTTGAAGCTTTTAGGATGACATTTATGTAATTTGAGAAGGAAATGTTTAGAATCAAATATAAAAAGACATCATCTACCAGTGATAAAATAAAAACTCACAAGATTGTACTGGGAACTTTGATACGCTCAAATTCATCTGTTGTGTGTACAAATGAACGCTGTGATTCCTGAGCTCTCCCAAAAATCACTTTTAGTTTTGGCTAAAACTGTCTCAACTTGATAATTTATGTAATCCTCTGTGGAGCAGTCGGGGCAGGAAAAAGCGCAAATAGAGATCTAGATATAGGTCTATTATATACTAAAACATGTAGGAGTAAGATGAGATTAGGGGATAAATGTTCTTATTTTGCCTTTAACTAATATGTTTCAACACAGGGCCAAGGTAGTGAGATTTGGATTCCTCAGTTTGCTGTTTATATAGCACAATTGACGTTCCATAAAAACAGAAATCTTCAAATGTGTACAGAGAGAAACTTCAACAGACACTGACACTTGAATGTTCCATCTGCCCAATTCATAGTCAACTGTCCGGCCTTAAGCTGCACACAACAAAAGCAACACCCTGAACAATCTCTTAGCGCATTTTCTCTTTCTGAGTGTAAGTGTGCAACACTTCACACCACTCAATAGATGAAGGAAATAAAAAGCAAAATTTACAAATTGAGTAGTGTAATGTACGGGTTATCTTCCTCCTTAGATAACTCCTTTATGGAATTAGCAATACTTTCTTTGCAGCCTGAATAAGCGCTGCTCCCATCAGCTTGCGTGGTCATAAGGAGAGAAATGGAGCCACTCATTCTTATCCCAAATCATAATGGTAATCATAATAATATATGGCAGGGGAAACTTTGGGAGGCGAGGGACATGGCTGTGGCACAGGTCGTGGTGCTGGTTTCATGGACGTATATTTATCTCCAGACTCATCGAGTTGCCTACGTTAAACACATACAGCCTTTTGCAGGTCGATCTGACCTCAATACAGAGGCTAAAAGTAAAAGGAACAACCCAGAATCTCAATTTTAAAGTATTTTGGGAAAAAAGGTAAAACTCTTCATATGATACTTTACCTTGAAACTGACAAGACCATTATTATTCCCTTTCATTAACCGATTTTAATTTGCTTTATGCTCTATGGCAAGGGGCAATTTATGCCAGATGTAGAGCTGGAGGAATGGCGATTTCTAAAGGGACTTTGTCATTGGGTATTATGTATTCTTCTTTGATGACCTGATCATAGTTATAATGTTCAGTTCAGCAGGCTTCCTAACCAAAATGTTCAGGTAGCAAAAAGTATAATTACAAAAAATAAAATAAATCCATAAAACAGGCAAATAATATAAACTAAGCAAGAGGAAAATGGCAATTCTCAGCTAATTATGTAGATAGTGCAACTCCTCTTTACCTCTGTTTCTCAGCTTTCAGATTCATGATGCTTATTTGATTTGTATTGTTACAATATTAAAGCAACAATATACAATCTGGCATTTTAGAGTATTCTGACAGGATAATCAAAACAAACNTTTGTATTGTTACAATATTAAAGCAACAATATACAATCTGGCATTTTAGAATATTCTGACAGGATAATCAAAACAAACAACAGAAAGTTTTCTGCCTCATCTGTTGAGTAGCAACTCTTGACCACCCATGTTTCTTTCACTCTAGCATTTCAATGGCAGCAAGTCATTTATAGAGATTTTATTTTTCTGTGTTTTTCTCCCCTCCCTGCACTTTTAACTTTTCCCTTTTTAGGGGATATCTGCTGAGTCTTTGGTATTCCTTTGACTCAAAGCTATAGGCCAGAAGCCCCAAGACTGATGGAAGGGTGTGGCTCGGAAGAGTTCTAGAAGCAGCAGGTTCCTTTTGTCTCACTCCCTCACACAACCTGAGAAGGTGGCAATACAGGAAGGGAATGGGGTCCTAAGTAAGAGCCCGACTCCACGAGTTTGAGCTGTGCCTGAGAGTGGGGACCTGAGTGGACCGAAGACTAGGGGACCGTCTCCAGAAGCCTTCACACAATATCTGGGAATGGGGTGGGAGGCACAGAGGAACTCCAGATGTCTCAAATTGATCTTTTCACTACTTGTTGAGTGGAGCATCGGTCATATTTAATTTGAAAAAATTTTTAATTAACACAATCTTTCTTGTACCCAGTTATTATGGTAAAGTACAATGCATACTTGATATAGAACTTGTTAAGATAACACTGACTATGATGTTTTAAAGAACTTGGGGTTATTTCTTTTGATTATAGGTGAATTTTTTTTTATTGGATCAAATAAAGATCTATTAATTGGCAGGAAGTTTTCTACCCATTGCTGTAATTTGCTAATGTGCACACCTTATATTTTCTTTTCTTTGATTTTCTTTATAAATTTTTCCTTGCGAATTTGCACTTGGAGCTAGCTCATGCTTTATTTTATTGGTTCATCTGATCTCAGCTCTGAAAGTATACCCAGATCTGGATGAGAAAACCTCTAATTTATTCTGAATTTTAATTTTGCATTAAGATTTCTTCAAAGATTTAAATTCTCATTTCTAGTTTTGGGGGCTTCATAGAACTGTCAGAGCCCTGCTTGATGGTCTGCAAGGTACTAAAGAAGACATGAAATAAAGTCAGCTTAGTTAATAAAGTCCCTTCCCCTGCCTATTTAAGTATAATTATTATTTCTACAATTGCTTCTTATTTGTTTTTGGCCAGAAGACAAAGATTCCAAAGATGTCTCTACATAAGAATAGTAATATTCTATGTCTTTCTCTACTCAAAATATGGACAATAATTTAAAAATGATTCCTCTACCCTGAATTAGAAATGAAAAAAGCTGAGAGATGAGATAAATGTTGAATGGGGAAAAATGAGGAAAAAGGGAACAAAAGAGGAGATTAAACATGAGTAAAGAATAAAGAGGAAGAGAGGGGTGAGGGGTTAAGCAGAGAAAGCAAAGGATACAGACCTTCCAATAAGGAGAGTAACTGTCACATAAAACTTTATGTACAAGACCCTCCCCCACTCCCCAAAAAGGGGTGGCCTTGACAAGAGATCACGATGTTAAGAACGTTGGTGGCATGCTTTTAGTTTGAACAACTGCCCTTGAGATGTTGGTACTCATGGCATTTTAAGGAATAGTTTCTCAACCGCTTCAACATCAGCAATAAAAAGTCACCAAGCGTCTTAGATGCTTGGACGCTGAGGTGGCCCATGTCCTGACACAGCAGCAGTAGTCTGACCTACCTGGCTGCAATCCGGCCCAGCTCTAGCAAACAGAGACACACTTCTCTGGGTTGCTTGTGGAGAACTGAAAGACAAGACAGAGGTGGACACCTTTACAAGAGAAGGGATTGGAAAGCAGCTCAGTGGTGAACACGCTTGCCACTGACCCCTCATCTCTTCTGCTCCCAGAACATCAGCTAGTCTCCATTCTAACATTCCACAAAAACAGCCTGCCCCCCAGACGACTTCACTTTACTAAAGATTCAAAGTAGTTTTCAAAACTCTTTGTCCAACCCGCCTCCCCAAGGCCATTAGTCTCAGGAAATCTCAATCTGAATAAATTTTTACCCCGAAATTATTTTCTTCAATTATTTTCTTCAATTTTAGTAAGTCAATATTGGAAACATAGGTGGCAATAATTATGACATAAATAGTTGATAGATATTTTTAAACATACAGCACACAGAAGACTATGGAACAAACACTGGCCTTTTAAGAATCCTGGGTTTACCTTCACTGGTGTTTTTTGGCAGAAATAATGCAATGAATCAGAATAAAATTTACACACCACAGCACATTCTTATCCTTTAAACAAAGATGTCACGTGAGACCCTGAAATGTAATGTTTTTTCCTAATCAAATCTGATTAAGTGATAATTTAGAAAGAAACACTTTCAACTGACTGGATTTTGTAAATATACACCAATATATACCAACAGCCAGCTTTGCTCATAAAATGAGCAAATTAGAAGACTATTATTTGCATTGATATTTTTATTCTAATATAATCTGATTACTTAATAAATCTTTACCAATTGTTTGGACACATTCAGCAATGTTGACAAATCATACTTGCATTTGTTGAGCCTACCTGAGGAATATGTACTGCTGATATTACTCTCTTTTCAAAGCATTATTATATAATTTTTAAGTGTTATTTTATACAATACCTAATAAAGACAACAGATACTAGAAAAAAAACATTGCATTACATTTACACATTTAATATCCTGATTAAAAATATATTAGCTTATTGATAAACTTTAAGAAAAATCATAATATTTATTCTTAAACATAGAATTTTATAATTCAATATCCCAGCATTATTCCATTCCTTTAATTTAAACATCTAATTCCTTCTTTACACAGATTAAGGTAGTGGCAGGATTTGGTCCATGGACACCAGAATGGAATTTGTTGGGAGAGTGTGATGATTAGAAAAATACTCTTACTTGGATTCAGTATATGATTTCACTTAGGTTTAAATAGACAGGAATTTTTATCTTTCTAAAATGTCACCTTTAAAGCTTCTAATCCTATCAGCAATGTTCATTAAAACAGAATCAATTATGGAATTTCCGAATTATAGAATATCTCCAATCTTGGTAATACAAATTTTAGTTTCAACTGACCCTTGGTAACACCCTAATTGGGGAAGCCTAAAATTACTTTTAATTAAAGGGGATTAAAGTAAAGATACTTAATACCTCCAGTGTCAAATGCACCATTAGTTGTCTCTGGCTAGAAGGATACAAACTTCACAACTTTTGCTATATTAAATCAACTGTAGCTCAGTGTAACTGGTGGACTGTCATATCACATAGGCATCCATTTCAAACAAAGAACAATAACAAACATCACAAAACAGAAGCAAACAAATGGAAATCAACCTTCCTGTCTAAATAGCCAATTTCTTTTTATTTGAGCTTTTATTGAAAATTCTGTCCACAGAACCAAATAACAAACAGGAGTTTTGAATGGAGGGGGAAAAAACAAACAAAAACCAAAACATGAAACTGAGAAGAATTTTAAGGTCCTGCCTGATAAATGCCCTCATTTTCAGTGAAGGAAAGCAAGTGGTTAAAGCACCAGGGCACCAGGATCTATCGATACAATCTCATGCATTTCTTGATGAAAACAGTGTCAAAATATAAAAAATTTGGGTGGACCAACCAAATTGCGTCAATGTGTAGTCAATAAGCAACTATAAAAAGTAACATCTGATTCCTTAGCCAATTTGTTGGACATATTGTGAGGACTATATAAGCAACCGGAAGTAAACATAAATTTTATGGAAAATAATCATTCTGGAAAAAAACAAAAATGTGAGTAATGTATGAAGACCATGTGATATGTAGGATGCATCACTATTGTGTATTTCTTTGCTTCCTCAATAGAACTATCAATTTAAAACAGCCTCTGTATGCCCAAACTCAGATGTCAGATCTACCACGAATGCATTAGAAATTTAGTTTTGCAAACTGAAAAGTAATTGCATGATTCTTCATTTATATCCTTAACAGAACCAGCCTATAAAATTTAAGATAAAGAAACCTTTTCCTCGGCATCATTTCTTAGGAAAATGCTAATAGAAAGATAATGTTTTACTTCCCAGAATTTTGGGAATATTATCTTTTATAAAGCAATAAAATTGCTTCAAAACACACCTACAATATTGTCTAACATGTTAATGACTTTCTAAATATTAGGCGTATCGTGCCTGGCCCGTAACAGCCAAAAAAAAAAATCAATATTTGATGACTAATAAGCAATAAATAAGATAAATCTGTAGAGGTGCATAACTTAGCATAGTTCCTAGAACAACGTAAGTATATCTCATAATATCGAAGATGTTGTACGTTATGTGGTAATGATAGTGACTGTGACAGTGAATTAACTGATAACAATTAAAATCTTACCTGGCATTTTTAGAAAAGGCAAAATATAAATTATGTAAATGTTTATTTAATTGTATAAACAAACACTCTTACCTTATTGCTATAAAATTAACTTCAAAACTTTTTAGTAGTATCTACATTATAGCTAAGATATGACTGGTTTTGCACCAAGGCAAGTTCTAACCTAAACGTCATAGACGGAGTGTCGTGGCTGCGGGAAAGTGTGAGCTCCAACATTTATTAGCTGTGCTATTTGGGGAGGTCATTCTATAAAATCTCAGCTTTCTGAGGGGAAAAATATTGTTTACCACACAATCTTTTTGTGAAGGTTACACAAAATAATATTTATTGTTTTTCTTGGCACAGTGTGTGGCACATAGGAAAGATTTGTCCAAGGTTAGTTTTCTTTATTGGTTTTTTTTCAGTGTTATAAATTGTTTATTTGAAGATTACCTTCATTTGGCGTAGTCAAAATTAATTCACTTTTTTTTCTTATAAGCTTATAGAGGAAAAAAAGTGTTAGTCACTATACTAAGCAATGGAAGAAACTTCATAATTTAAAAAAAAACATTACTATTGGTATATTTGTAAGATTTAGAGTGGTCCTATTATATTTGAATATTTTATCATTTTTATTATATCAGAGATAGTAAATTCTAAATTTAATCAAATTTCAAGTTAAATAAGTCAATTTGGCCAGTATATACAGACAGGTATGAAGCAGGTATTCTATAGCTATTATGATTTTGAGCTAAGAATAAAGTTTAAGTAACAATTACCTTAGGACATGTCATTTTGTAAAATGCCAAACATCTTACTATTAATTTCCCTCTGTCCCTGAGAATAAAAAAATTTAGAAGAGTCTATTTTCAAGAAATTGTCATAATTGATTATGTGTTGCATATTTTAGGAGATTAAATAACTAAATGCAAGTCTTTATCAGGATTAGAAAGGCACTTGAACTAAAGCCTTTGTATTGAGTCATATGTCCTACTGATTTTAAACACATTTACTGATTAGTCTTTTCAAAACTATAAAGAACCTTCTACTTTTACTGAAGTTTACAGTAGGAGACATTTTTTCACTTTACCATTGTAACATTAACATGGCCTTTCACATTGAGTTAAGGGCAATAGAGGGGATCACTACTGTTTTCTTTCCTTTGAACAAATTCTCTTTAAAACAAATAAAAAGCTCCCTAGTCAATGGTGATTATTTTGCAAAAGGTTTTATCAACGGAGGCTTCTTTTTAAATAATCAGAACCATTTCAAAGCAAAGTATAATGTGGGACACCTCGGGGGAAAGTAACACAGATCCCTATTCAAAAATATGTGGCAAGAGACTCAATCTTATAACCTAGATTCTATAAAAATCTCATGGGCATCAAATGTCAAATAGAAAGCTGCTAGCTCCAGGAATAGAAAACGAGCCCTTTCGCTAAAGCAAGGGGCAGACTTTCAATGTCACAGCATCTGTGAAGATAAAATGCATTGGACCAGCAATGTATAGTTTAGCTGAATATATTAAGTTTCAAAAGATGAGCAAAGAAATGAAAATCTGTCTTGTCCACTTAGTTTCTACGGACAACAGATGTGTTGCTCTTGAAGGAAACTGGTTTTTAGGATTTATATTTAGGAAGAAAACATAAAATTTATGGTTTTGGCTGAATATAGTTTAATTGTGGAAACATGATCAGTTAGTGGCTGCTCGCCTCGCCAGAGCAGAGCACAGGTTCTAATATTTAGGAAGAGTGCTGCAGTTGACATAACCGGGAGCCGGGGTGGGCTCTAGCTCAGGCTAATTTCCTCCTCCCAAACAGGTGTCCTGGCTTCCTTACGAAGTAAGGTTATGGCCCGGCCGGCCGTGGCTCAGCAGTTGAGCGTCGGCCTAGGATCCAGGAGATCCGGGTTCGATTCCCGGTCTAGGGCTCAGGCCCGGGATGTGGGCTGCAGCCGATCAATGACTTTCTCATCACTGATGTTTCTATCTCTCTCCCTCTTCTTTCCTCTCTCTGAAATCAACAAAGATATGTTTTTTTTGAAAAAAGAAGTAAGGTTATGGCTGAGAGCACTTGGCATATGGGAAGCACTCAACACCTTACTCCCTTGCAACCTGAGTGTGGGCCACAGACCAACAGCCTGGCCATCAGCTGGGACCTTGACAGAAATGCAAATAATCAGGTCCCCCCCCCAGGCTCACTGACCAGAATCGACACTGACATAAGCTCTCCAGAGGCTGAGTGCGCACATCCCAGTTAAGCAGCACTGTTTAAACAACGCTGTGACAATCCGAGAAATGTCCGCTATAACGCCCCTATCTATGGGGCAGGCAGAAGTAGGTTTACAGGCGTGAGTACCCAGAACACGAGAGTTTATTTATTTATTTTTTTAATATGCTTTTACTGAT